TATTCAACCTGTGACAAAAGGCAGTTTGCCTTGAAGCATTGCACAACATCTTGGGCCCAGGGTCTGTTACATCTCCTGGGTGATGGATCATCCAGAGTGGCCGTAGCAACATCAGCCTGGAGGCACGAGGACTGATCCTGGGAGCCTACAGAGCCGCCTTCTGCTTGCAGTGTGGTCTCTGCTCACGGACCCAGAGGTGCAGGTTCTGGAGGGCTGGGAGCTCACCATGCCCTTGTTATTTTGAATGAGGAATATTTTTGCACTGGGAGCATTTCTGAGGAGTCCTTCTATAGGACTCCTCCCCTAAAAGTGTTTCTGCGCCACTAACCAGCCAACCCTGTAAACCATTGCACCACCCAGGGTGGGCTCCTTTGCCACACCTTAGCTGACCTTTGACTGACAACTGTCATGGCCTGTCAGCTGTGTTTAGGCCACCAGGTCTTGATGTTCCTGATGAGCAAGTTTGTAGGACCAAGCTAGTTGCCCACGTTGGTGTGTTGAATCCAGACAGTCTGGTGAGTGCTGATCAGCTCTGTACGCTCTGGAACAACATCTCTTTCTCTTTGGCAGTCACCCCCAGGATCCGTATGGGTGGATACTTACCCGAGATTTTGCCTGCTAAATTCAACTGCCTATAATTCTTCTGGTGTGGAAGCCTTCCAGGTTTGACTTTGTGATTTTTTTCTTTGGAATGTGCGAGAGAGTGGCCAGTTACGGATTTGGGGACAGAGAGAACTGGAGAGAAGGTGGTGGCGTGGTATGGGCTGAACTGTCTCCCTCTTACGATAAACTCCTAGTGAGGCAACTGTAATGTCCATCAGGCCGGGGGAGATGTGTGCGTCCATAATTTCTCCTTCCTGTCCTCAGGGCCCAGTTTTCCCCCTGAAGGCATCGCTCTGACTTCTGCATACAATACTCAGTGAGGCTGAGAGTTCAGCTGAAGGGGCAACACGTAGAGTCTTATTGACCTGGAGTTTGTATTTCAGCTTCCTTAACACTACAGCACCAAGAAATAAGAGCATCAAGCTGTGGCTCTCACTGGGCATGTGGCTCACGTCTGTAATCCTAGCAGTTTGGGAGGCCGAGGCAGGAGAATCACTTGAGTTCAGGAGTTCAGCCTGAGCAAGGGCAAGACCCTGACTCTACTAAAAATGGAAAAATGAGCCTGGCGTGGTGTCAGCCTCCTGTAGACCCATCTACTTGGGAGGCTGAGGCAGGAGGATCACTTGAACCCAGGAGTTTGAGGTTGCTGTGAGTTAGGCTGATGCCACAGCACTGTAGCCTGGACAAGAGTAAGAGTTTGTCTCAAAAAAAAAAAAAAAAGAGAAATGCTTCAGGTCTGTTTTTCTCTTTCATAAGCCCATTCAGATGCCTTCCTTATCACCTGCTGGAATTCTCATGCCCTTCTCTGGGAAGAACAGTGGGGACCCCAGAGCATTGTCCTATCTGGACACCTAACTCCTATGACCGCAGGTGACAGATTAAGTTGCCACTGTATGCCATTGGCTGACAGACAGATTTAATGATGATTTTCAGAATCTTCATATTTCTCTGAATGGAAAGGACCACAACAACTTCTGGTACTTTTTTTTCCCTTTGTAATTAGTGAAAATTTTGAATTGCAACAACAGACATGATTTATAGATAGCTTAAGCAGGGAAGCAAATTTTCTGGAATCTGACGACTGCACAGAATCGAGAGACCTTCGGCTGCAAAATGAGCATGATCCATGACAGTCAGAGAAAGAACAGCAGGGAGCCCTGGTGACCAAGACACTGCCCCCTGCCACAGGCGGCAGTCACCCCTGGACGCATCACAGTTCTCTCTCTCAATGACTTGCTTCAGCCTCCCAGTCCAGGATGAGAGTGCCTGACTAACCGAATCTGGGTCATATGACCAGACCATCTATATTTGTTTCCTAGGGCTATAATAAATTACCAGGAACTGGGTGGCTGCAAACAACAGAAATTTATTCTCTCACAGATCCAGTGGCCAGATGCCCTAAATCAGGTTGTCAGCAGGGCTGTGCTCCCTTGGAAGGCTCAGGGGCAAAAGCTTCCTTGCCTCTTCCAGCTTCTGGTGGCTGTGTTCTTTGGCTTATGGCAGAGTGACTCTAATCTCTGCCTCTCATCTTCTGCTCTTCTGTTACAAGGACACTTGTCACTGGATGTAGGGCTACCCTAGATATCACAAGCTGACGCTAACTTGAGCTTCTTAATTACATCTGTAAAATTCCCTGACCTTACCCACTCCAGCCTGAGAAGATGCTTAGATGAACAGATACCTGTGGGCTTTTCAGTAGCCCCTGGGCACACCTGGACCATAACATTCATGACACCAGATACGGACCGTTGACATTTGTGGTTTTGAGTCCTTGTCCATGATCATGGTATTTAGTCATTTCTAATGGGGTTAATTATACACACATATAGATTATATAATGATTGGGATTGTATAAGAAAAGACATGAGCTTGGGGAGTCACATGCGCTCAGGATGTACCTGTCCTCAAAGTAAAAATTCTACTACATTTCCATTTAATGTTTCTTTGTATGTTTCCTGTATTAAATTCTGGCTCCTGAATGGGGTATGGGACTGTTTTCTGTGTGTATTTTTTTTTTTTTTTT